GTCACCCATTCAGTTCCCTCCCCACTGTTAGTCCACCACTCCACACACCCACTAACACCCTTCCTGGGTGTGAGGACACCCTTCTCACCACTGTCATTTTCTCATCGTCTCCAATAATTCTAGGGTAAGGAGAACAACAACAACAACTACAAAGCTCTCTTTATCCAATAATTCTAGGGTAAGGAGAACAACAACAACAACAAAGCTCTCTTTTAAAATAACACGTTAGATACTACCTGAAATAAAGCAGTTTGTATGCAGTTGCTTCTCACTCTTGCCCGGCTGGTGTGGCTCAGTGGTTGAGCGTCAACCTATGAACCAGGAGGTCAAGGTTCGATTCTGGCCAGGGCACATGCCCGGGTTTCAGGCTCTATCCCCAGTAGGGGGTGTACAGAAGGCAGCCGATCAAGAGTCTCTCTCATCATTGATGTTTCTATCTCTCTCTCTCCCTCTCTCTTCCTCTCTGAAATCTATATAACTAAGGGGTAGGGGGGGAGAAATTAGGATTCTAAGCTTATGGGGCCAGGACAGTGTATTCTATCTATAAAGTAGTTCTTTGGATCCTACAAAAACCTGACATTCATAAGATCAAGAACAAATTAAATTGGAGCTCATCTTTCCCTTGATCACATTGGTGAGTATCAAATGCTACTACACAGATAGCAGCAGACTGCTAAGCACATCTGAAAAGAAATTATTTATGAAAATTACACAGCAAGTAGTTAACTCTCAAAAATGTTTAATGAAAACAGGACAGGCTTTTGTCACGCAAAATCCTAAAAAAAGGTATTTTATTGAACTAAATTGGTCTTGCCCTTGAGATAAAAATGCTTAGACTCCATCATCAGAAAGAACCACACAGCCTTCTGTTTCTCATAAAAATGGGGACTCCAGGCATGTGCACAGGGCACGAGACATAGAGATGTTTGTGCTCAACTCTAGTTCTTTCTTGCTTATTGAAGCTAACTACTAAGTAAAAAGAGGAATGTGAGCCAAAACAGAAACAAACAAAACAAAGCCCTAACTCGTTATGTCCTTTTCTAGACAAAGAGACCAAGTCCTCTGGCCTCTTCGGAATGGAAAATTCAAACTTTCACCACCATAACAATACTACCATTTTTATATGACAAGCAAGGTCAACATGGGCAGAGCCAACAGGGAGCGGCCACAGATTCCCTATTCAAAGCACTGTCTAAAATGTGGATAACAGGTTCCATCTGCTTACCTTCCTACAAAACACAGCCTCTGAGCCAATGAAAAAATAAAAAAAGACTTGGCTCTGGGAGGAGATCTTTGATTCAGTGCCTCTCCACTTTGCTCTGGCCCACACGCCAGAGGGGTAGGGACTCAGGACATCCCCGTTAATATCAGAGGGTGACTAGAGGGAATAGGGGGTGTTCCTTAGGGCTAGAGAGGAAGGAGAGGAAGGGGCTGCAGGTAGTTGCAAATCTGAAGGTTCCTGTGTGATTTCTAAAGGCCCCCTCCTCCTAGGTGATTTTGATAACACACATAAGTCCCGTCCAAAGATGACAGAACTATGCAGGCCCAATTTACAGATGTGAAAACTAAGGTCCAGAAAGGGGAAGTGATTGGCGAGTTACGAAGAGCTGAAAAACAACTCCAGGCCTCTGAACTTGGACTTCATGTACCCACCCCCAACTACACAGAGCCTTGGACATGGCTGGTTGTCACAAATATTTAATAAATAAATGAAATAAGGGCACAACGTTTGCATTCATTGGGTTACTAGCATAGTTCATGCCCTGGGGTCCCTGGGTCCCAAGCAGAGCTCAGTCACTGCTGGCAGTGGGAGGAACCCGGGCTAACGGAAGTCCCGCCCTGCTTAATCCCTGACCGCTATCTATGTCATCTCAGACCTACCAACACCTCGGGAAGCCTCCCAGGGAAACGCGCTCAGGTAGAAAACAGCTTCCCAGCTGGAAGTAGATCAACTAGATTTGATGATTCTAGTTCTCTCGAATCAATCAGGACTTCTGACTGGAATCCTTATGTGTTTCTGAGTGACAAAAATGGGCATATGAAGTCTCCCCAACGAAACACAATTTGTTTCAGAGACTATTTGTCGAAAGATGGACCTGGTGAGGGGGGAAATCATTTTAAAGGGATCACGGAAGGTAAGATGCTAGCAACCTGGGCCTCCTGCATTGAAGTCTCCCCAACGAAACACAATTTGTTTCAGAGACAATTTGTCGAAAGATGGACCTGGTGAGGCGGGGAATATTTTAAAGGGATCACTGAAGGTAAAATGCTAGCAACCTGGGCCTCCTGCACGCGTCCGTGAGGCCGGGCCAAGTCCTGGAGACGGTTAAAACTCAGCACCAGGAGCCTGTGGCCTTCACTTCCTGCCGGTGCGCTGCCGTGGGTGCCTTAGATCAAGGCCTGGGTCATGACTGAGAAAGTCCACAAGGGGATCCGGTGAAGTGCTGGCCATTCCCCAGGCCCGGCGCCCTTCCTGGGAGGACCAGTCACCAGTCTCCTGGCGGCGGGGGGTGGGGGGGGCGCTCATCTTGGAGAAGCAAATATCTACGTGTCTTCTCCCTGCCACCCCTTAAAAACCAGAAAACGAAAGCACTGTACACACACTAGCTGAACCTTGATTTTTCCCCCCCTCTTAATGATATATCAGAGTTTATTCCACTCAAGACATAAAGAGCCGTTCCATTTTTAATGGCCACACAGAATTCCAAGGTACGGACGAATCGCCTGCCCCCACCAGGTGCTGTTCTAAGGTGTGAGGCCCTAGTCCAGGCCTCCCTCCTGCTCGGAGTGATAAAGTCGAAGCCGCCTCCACATGTCATTACTGCACACAGTGGTGCAGGTCACCTGTGTCCTGGCCACACCATCCCCGTGTGGGTTAGCCTGGAGAACACACTCGTAAAGGCAGAGCTGCTGCCTCACGTGGGCCTTGGCCTGCTGATACGTGCTTTCTGGGTTCACTCCATCTTGAAGCCCTCCAGCAGACAGATCACAATGAGGGCGTGTCCCGTATTTATTTCTTCTACCCTCACCCCACCCACCCACCATCCCTCCACTCCCCCCACTTAGCACACATTTATACACCCAGATGTCCGACTTCTCCATCCATCATTGATCCAGCTACATGCCTGTCCATCCACCCACCCGTGCACACATCTTTGTGCCCACTTGCCCATCCATGGCTGCTTCCAACTCTCCCAGCAAGTGCTCTCCCGCACCAGTCCTGTGCCGGTCCTGTGCTAGGGTCACGGGGCATGCAGAGATTAAAATGAATTAAGTTTACAATGTTCAAGAAAATCTTGGTCTAAGTCTGTATTCACTCCAGGTCACCTTCCAGGTGACTATTTGTTGAGCTCCTCCTATCAGTCAGGTGTTTCAGGCACTGGGCACAGATAGACACTGTTACTCTACCCCCTCCCACTTTACAGACGAAGAAACTGAGGCTCAGAGGTTATAGTGCAGTGGTTCTCAACCTTCTTAATGCTGCGACCCTTTAATACAGTTCCTCATGTTGTGGTGACCCCCAACCATAACATTATTTTTGTTGCTACTTCATAACTGTAATTTTGCTACTGTTATGAATCGTAATGTAAATATCTGATATGCAGGATGTATTTTCATTGTTACAAATTGAACATAATTAAAGCATAGTGATTAATCACAAAAACAATATGTAATTATATATGTGTTTTCTGATGGTCTTAGGCGACCCCTGTGAAGGGGTCTCGACCTACAGGTTGAGAACCGCTGCTCTAGAGGGTACAGACTGTCTTCCTGCTCCCAGTTGAACCCACAGAGTCTAGCACTGTGTGGGGGCATAGTGAATGTTCTAGGGAAATTTATTAAATGAATACAGGCCTTTGTCTGCTTTAAGCCCTTTTTGGTATAAAGCATATAATGGAACCATGCCCCAGATAGCCCATTTACAGTTCAGTGGTCTGGTCTCTATCAAAAGGAAATTGCATGAAAATTCTCTAAAAACAACAGAGCTTACACTCGATAATACTAAGAATAAAAAAACAATGGCCTTGGAAACATGAGACTACCATTGCACATCTAATGTTAAACATCCAAAGTTTCAAATTTTCCACTAAGTTTCAACATCTTTAACTTGCTTTGGTATATCGGGCATTTGCCTAATATAGCATTTCAGAAAGCAGAGGAAGAGAAAGTGAGGAGGCCACAGTTCAGCGCTGCCAGGACTTTTAGGCAACCATTTGTCGAACATAACTTGCTTCCAATTTAACTGCAAACGCTTACTTTTGATGACGATGACATTTTTACAGGTAATTCAGTCTGAGATATGTGGAATTATCTCTAACTTTTCAAGGTCAACAGGAAAAAGACAACTCATTGAGAATGAAATATATAAATGTTTAATATTAGGAAGCAGTAACAAATCATAACAGACAAGAAGAACTCTTTGATCTATGAGGCCAAAATCTAACTTCTTACACAACAGGCTGTTATAAATTATAATCACTCACTAATTGCAGTGAAATTCCGGACTTTGCCACATCAATCAATAGATGTTTCAAGGTTACCCCTTAGAAATGTCAGTTTACACTCTACAGTCCATCTCCTGAAGTTTCCTTAAAAAAAAAAAATAGATTTTTCCAGGATTTTTTAGGTTTCCGCCCCCCCCCCCCCGCCCTCAAAAAAAAAAAAAAAGGAAGGGGGAGGAAGGAAGGATAGATTTGGGGTTGAAAAAACTAGAGAACCTGAAACTGTTGCCTGATGAGGTTAAACAGGGATCGCCCTCCAGCCCTGGTAAGGGAGTGCGCATCTGTCTACCATCAAGACCATCCAGACCCCTGTCTGCACCTGCCCTTGAACACCAAGACCTGCAGGCTGCTAAGTTCCAACGTTATTTGCAATCGGTCTGAAAACTAATAAATGACTGCAGGCTTGACAGCAACCTTGGTGATTCCTGAAAATCCACAACAGGAAATGTAACTATCCTCCACCCTCCCCAGCCATTCATCAAAAGCAGACCGACTCACGGCAACAGGGAGGCCGGTGGCAGAAGGCCACAGGTACCGCATATAGAAAGCTTCTGCATTTTCTCATTCTCTAACCGAGGACGGGGAGCACTGCCCACACTGGAGGGAGGAGACTGGAGAGGCAGGCAGCGGGTAAAATGTCCCCAAGTTCTAAACTCTATACTGTGGGGTTAAACAACGAGTGAAAGCCAAGCCGCTCATGTGTGGCCACCTCTCCTGCCTGTCCCGGGAGTCACACTTAGTGCCGATGAGCAAGGGTCGTGCCTACACCGACCACCGGGCGCCTAACTGGTGCCGGGAATACTGCCTTTGCGCCGGGCTCGGGCTGCCAGCCTCCTCCCCCGCTAAAGCGCGAGGGGTGAGGGCGGCCAATGCACTGAGACCGGGGCCGTGCGGGTGCGTCCAGGGAAGGAGGACCGGTTACCCCTGAAACCCTCCGAACTTGGACAGGCGCGCGGAGCCGACCCCCAGGCCGGGGCACAGCGAGCG